TGGGGCAGTTTCCGGGCTCATCTCCTTTGCTTCCCGTCTCTCAGGGATGATTGTCCTTCGTCGTCTGATATCCATCCGGTCTGTCCCTATTGGCCAGAGCAGAAGTTGACTTTTTTTTAATTGTGGCTTTTGTGTCCAGAAGAGCACACACATTATCTTGTAAAGTATCTCTGAGGAACCAGAAATGAAATTGGGTAACAGAGTATATACCAACTCTAGTGTTCACATTTAGTCTTTGGAACAGATTTCTTAGTTTTTGCACAAAAGCCAAAGAGCAACTGATGTAATTTAATTACTTTGGTCTCAGATTTCACTGAGAGATGAAGAGAAAAACATTCTCCCTGCATGACATGTTGCTGGCTCAAATATGGTATTTTTGAAAGTTCCAAAATAATGTTTGACAAGACAAAAAAAATCCCTTTGAAAAACATCTCATTTAAGTGATCATATATAAACTCTTCTCCTGTCAGGAAAATTCTTCTGTGTGTAAAGTTATCTTTTACTTTAAACCTCAAATACTTTCATTTTATTGTCTGTAGTGGCAAAAGACAGGAAAAAACCTAAATGTTCTTCCCTGGGAGACTAGTTAAAAGAACGGTAGCCTATTCATACAGTGTGTGTTTAAAAGAATAGACAGCTCTAACATACTGGTACATAATGGCCTACAAGATATATTAGCAAGTTAAATAAGAAAAAAGCAGCCCTGGCTAGTGTGGCTGAGTGGATTGAGTCCCAGCCTGTGAACCAAAGGGTCACTGGTTCGATTCCCAGTCAGGCCACATGCCTGGGTTGCAGGCCAGGTCCCCAGTAGGGGGCACATGAGAGGCAACCACACATTGATGTTTCTCTCCCTCTCTCTCTCTCCCCCCACCTTCTCCTCTCTAAAAATAAATAAATAAATAATTAAAAAATTTTAAAAAGCAGCTGTGTGTGTGAACACATAAGCTTGATCGTGCCTGGTCAGGGGTAGTGGCGCTTGCCCCTGGGGGGGTGAGAATCAAAGATTGGGATGGAGGCGCAGATTTTATTTTTCACTGTATACTTTCCTGCTATTTACTTTTTAAAAAACCGTGTACATGTATTATTTTCTAACAAACCTGTTTAAAAAAAAAAAAAAAGAAAGAAAAACTGTTCTTTAATTGACTTCTCTACTAGGAGTGACCGACACAGGAATTGCCCTATTTGTCGCCTGCAGATGACTGGAGCACATGAGTCTTGGGTGGTGTCGGACGCACCCACCGAAGATGACATGGCTAACTATATTCTTAACATGGCAGATGAGGCCGGCCAGCCTCACCAACCGTGACCTTGGGGCGAAGTGTTTTGTTGCTAGTGTGGGCTCCAGACGCTTTGGTCTTGGAGGAAGAATGCAGGGGTGCGTGGCATGGCACAGGGAGCTCACTTTTCCCCATCCTCTCATTTTTGCCCTTTTCCAACAGTTTGTCCCATTTCTTTTGGTAAACTGTTTGTGTCTTCCATTTACGGTAAACTAAAATTCGCTACTGTTTTAGACCATGTTTTCCTGTTACTTACCTGTTCTAATATAGTGTATTAGAACTAATTGCTCTTGAATACTTTGCTGAGGTAACCACAACATTACCAGAGGCTTCTGAAGCACTACTATTTTCCAGGGTAGGAGTATTCCGAAATCTGTTTAGGTAGGTTTAAAATAAACCGTGAATGTTAAAAAGGTGTAGCCACTGAGAGAAAACTTTAAATGACTGAAAATGTAGAATACATCAAAGTGCATGTTACTACTTAAATTAGTCTTTCTGCTGGAATCTAAGGAGTATGTATGCCCCCTTGTGGTTAATTATTGCTCCTTTAATAATTTTTACTTGAAAAATTCTACAGTTCTTTTTCATAACTTCAGTCATGTGTTTCAGAATTACATGGTTTTTACTTAAAAAGCCTTTTCCCCCCACGCTGTGTCATTTGGGTGAAGGCTATAAAGTCAAGTGTAACTTGGCCATGTGAATGGATTTCTGATGGGAATCTTCTTGTCTGGTCTAGAAATGCTTTCCCACAGCTGGGGAACTATTCTAAATAGCTTTTGAAAATGCTCATGTGTCTTGGAATTTCAGAAGAAAATTTTCATCCCGGATCCTAAATTTTATATGTCCAAGTTATGGAAAATCACTCAATACTGGTTTATGGTGCTTTTATTTTCTTAACTTGAAAGCATCTTTCTGAGGCCAAGACCACAATTTCCTTAGATGAAGAGAGAACAAAATAGGATGTAGCCTTTTAACCATATGTACATAAAAACACCTCTGAAAATTAGGAGATAATTTGGCTTTCTTAATGTTTCATTCTACTTGTTTTGAAATACTTTGAAAGAGTGTAATCATAATGGAATTATAATGTTCGGTGTCACTTCAACCATCATTTTAAAAATGTGTGCTTATAAAATAAAATTTTTTGTTTCATGTTACACTATTTCAGCATGTAATAAAACTAGGGCCTGATGTCTCCTTTTAAAAGGATGTCAATATCCCATGTAACTTATCTGACTTCTTTGTAAATTGCAAATATTTTCTGAAGTACCAAAGTATACAATTAAGGTTGCTGCTTATTGATCACAAAATTCTTGGATACTAGGATTTTAATAGGCATGCAAATTAAATAATTCATTTTTAATGTCTGACCAAAGGTGGCTTGACTTTTACCCCCAAAATGTTGATAACTAATTGGTGGGCATTCATGACGGGGGCAGGTCAGTACCAAGTTAACACTCACTATGGACATTTATGCCCAGTCCTGAGCTCTGTCATCTAGACCTGGCTGTGTACTTCACAGTTCTGTGACCTTGAGAAAGTCCCTTCCTCTGGTTTGTAGTTTCATACTTTAGAAACTGAGATTTCATTTGTGGTTTTTACTTTATTTCAGCACTAGAATTTTTCCCCCCAAGTACATGTGCACACACACCATGTACCCCTTTATAAATTCATGTTTTATTAGTATAAATTTCTTTATATAAACTTCATATACTATTATACTAAATATTGTAAAATCAGTCAGTGAAAACATGTATTAATGCATTGGTGACATCCAGTATGTTAGAATTTGGTGAGTAACACAGCTGGAGGATGGGACTTGGTTTTTAAAGTAATTTTTTTTCAAAAACAATTTTTAAGTTAAATTCAAGTCATATTTGCAGTACCCTGACTCTCCTCCATGAGCATTAGTATTCCATGGACCATATTTTTAAAATCTTGGGATAGGTGATCCCCTGATAGCTTTTTTAGCTCTAAGATTTTAAATTGTCCTTTTGGATTAGACTTGCTAAGTCCAATTCAGATTGCCTAATTTATGACTGTTTCTGAAAATGAATAGAGTTGCTTTACAGATTTTTTGGATCCTTCCCAGGTATAGCCAGTGATTTTATCCCTCAGAATCTTTCACCTTTCAAGGAGTTATTTAACAGTAAGCACAGCAGCCTAACGATACCCAAACCTTTTTATTAGTCGTTATGAGCTCCAAGAAACTAACTCACCTCCTGTGAAATGTAAAATGTTATTCTTAGCCTTCTCTAATAAATGAGCAGTTTTTTGTTCACTCCATTAAACTGGGTAATAATTCTCTAACATGTGAATATTAGGTATGTTGTATTATAATAACTAATCGTAAAAGTTGTAAATATGTTTGATGGATGAAATGTATACCTTTTGTATTTGTATAGCTTTGTCTTTTTAATTATGAGGTACTTAAATGCACTTACTATGATAGGAAATATAATGTGCCTTCTATGATCCGTAAAATGGTCTCATGAACTCTAAGAAATTTGTTTAATGTTATGAAGTTTTCCCTACCCTAACTCGGTAACAAAGGGTTTACTCATTATAATGCTATCGAACTTTAGTTCAAGAAAATGGATTTGACTATGTACTGAATTTAGAAGTTGAGAATAGTAGTATCTGTTTCTTAGGATAAACTGATAATATTGTGCAATAAATAATCTTTTTCAAGTAAATTTTAATTAATTGAAGAGATTTTTCTTCTTGTGTAGTTTCATAGTCTTAAACACTAAACATTTATATTCCATAAAGGACTGTTTTGTATTGTGACCTGGGGGTTTGTGATGCAGATTCATTTAAAATTGGACTCAATTTTCTTTTGCTTAACATATATCTACATAATGAGGCTTCTTGAAAATATCTTTTGGTTCAGTGATTTTTAACATTGAGAAGTTGGATTTACTAAAAGGCAGTTCAAAGACTTTGTACTTTAACTGCTTTCTTCATTAAGTCAAGCTTAACCTGCTCTGTCCAGGAATAAGAAACTCCATGGGGGTCAGGGAAATAGCTGGTCACCCACATGGACGCTGGACAGCACAATGACAGTACAATATAAACAGTTTACAGCAGACTTTCATTTGTTTTCTTATCTTTTTACCCTACTGGACAATAAAAATAATTGATAAAATATTCCATCCTGTGACAGTTTCGGTGTTTACTTTATAAAATTATTTCTAAGGTAAAATAGAGAAGCACGTTAGAATCTTAGTGCTGAGAAGGGGAAAGCCATCTATAAGAAGGAATGCTAATTTATAATTAAATTTACTGACATATGTCACCATGGAGACGAACACATTTTTGGTATCAAAAGACATAAAAGCCTCCTCAGATATGTTTTGGTAATCTTGCAGTTGCGACTTACTCTTTTTTTCTTTTAAATATTTTATTTATTTATTTTTAGTGAGAGGGGAAGGGAGGGATGGAGAAAGAGTGGGAGAGAAACATCAATGTGTGGTTGCTTCTTGCACGCCCCCTACTGGGGACCTGGCCCGCAACCCTGGCATGTGCCCTGACTGGGAATCGAACTGGCTACCCTTTGGGTCACAGCCCACCCTCAATCCACTGAGCTATACCAGCCAAGGCTGACTTATTCTTTATCATCTTATTATCTAGCATCATCTTTCTAATAAAATATTTATTTAGAGGTTGGGATATAAAAACTCCCAGGGAACTATATTTGTATGATTAGTATTCCTTTTATTGAAGTTAGTTACACTTGTTCTTTATAATATAGTCATTGTTTGGATATAGAATACTCAGGTATATTAGTATTCTATACATACTAATGTCACCTTCAGCTGTATCTACAAATCCAGGAAAAGATGAATATTGTTTCACCGACACAGCACTCAGGAACAAGTAAAGAAAAACCCAGAGGGATGGTTTGCAATTCTGCTTTAATGCAGGACATGAGGAAGTAAAGACCCAGGACAGGCCTTGGTAAATACCAACGTAGGAGCTATGATTTGTTTTCACAAGACAAAAGGCAACAACACAAATCATGTCAGCAATGCAGTTTGAAGTACGGAACACACAATGTGAAGTTGAGCCTTCTAGAAGGAGGGATAACACCTCAAAAACTGCTTTTTTTAGAAACAGTTACCTTTGATTCCATGAAAGGAAGTAGGAATCACCCCCCAAAATGGCCAGCTGGGTACAATGAGTCAATAAAAATGCAAAGTGCTACAGAAAAAGGAAGGTGTCTGAAAAGTTTGCAAAGGACAGGCAAAATGCAGTAAGTGTTGGCTGAACAGATTAAAGTATTATCCAGGGAACAGGGAATGAACATGTGTGGCAGAAGTTGGAGGAAAAAGCTAGCAAAGGTTTACCTTCTGGGTAAAATGAGCTTGAGTTTAAAATTTTTGAGTTTTTCTAGTGAATGTCTGAGTCTTAATTAAACATCAATTGGTAGTTATTGACAGCTTTTAATGATGCTCAAACCTTTCTTACAGTAGAAAACAAACATTTTCTTTAAATAGTATTGAAGTAGTTTTAAATTATTGAGCCATAAAGCCTCCTAACAGACTTTATTTATTTAATAATTAAAAACAAATACTTGATACAGCTAAAACAACAATGAAAAACTGTACAATGCTTGTGATATTAGGACAAATGTATACAAATGGGGGCTTTTCAAAAATAATGAATGACTAAGATGAATGCTGGGTTTTCATTCCATGTCATGATTAGCTGTAAGATAGCATACATGTTTGTTTAGTTTAAAAAAATACACACTACATTTATTGTTCATATGCTAAGTTGACCAGTGGAGGGGGAGCAAGCATTATAAAATAAAGTCACAGGACAAGAAATTCTGACATTAAATAAGCATTTCCACAGGCAAAATTAGGGTTCTTCCAACCCCACGATTCAGAAGGATGTCCCCCCAGTCTGCATCTGCCCACAGTAATGGCCAAGAAGGTCCTTGAGCAGTGCGTTGTGTACTAGGAGCACATACCCTTAAAATATTGCCAAAAGGGAAGTCCCTTTCTTTATTCAACATACATTTATTGAGGCATTTATTGAGCACCTACTATGTACCAGGCACTAGTAACACAGATGATGAGTACATTGGTAAAGCTTACTTTCTGATCAGTCTTAAAATATGCTTTCTACCTGGCCCCTATGGCCACTTAATATCTTCTGAAAAAGTCTGTGTACTACGTAAGGGAGAAATTTTGCCTCTAAAAAGAAAGGCACCAGGCTACAGGGATAAAAATTACATTTCTGAGGTTTTGTGGAATAGTGGAGAAAGACTGGGGTAGGAGTAGGGAAACCTAGCTCTAGTCCTATCACTAGCTGGGTGAGCTTAAGTAAACCTCTCTTCTCTGGCCCTAATTCTTCACAAGTGAAGTGATAACTGGGCTACAATCGTAGAATGTTGGGGCCAGAAGGAACAGAGATTGGCTAGTGTGGTGCTTTTCAAAGTCCTCAGGTCAAATGAAAATATGTGGAAGTCCCAGTGAAAAACTTGATGAAAGCACAGTCACCTTGAAGAGGCAAAGGCAGCACCCACAGCCTCCCTCCCCTTGCCTCCCCCACCCTGAAGTTGGGTGGCGGGGGAGGGGTTCACCAAACACCATTTGAAAACCTCTCATCTGATCCAAACCCTCACTTTTTGGATAAGGAAACAAAGACAGAATAGGAGTGGGTGTTTCAATGTGCACATTTGGCTTCCTAACTAGAAAGGAGGGTGGCGGGCTAAATAAAACAGTTTAAAAATTTCATTAAAAACACAAAGAAGGAAGCTATTTTAACCCTCTCAAAGTAGTTCCTTTATGAAAGGGACCTTTGAAATTGATTGTGTTTAAGGCAGCCAGCCAGCCAGCCAGCCGGGGGGCTGAAATGAACAACTAGCAGCTACCCGCAGGGCTTGCAGCAGACTTGGACTTCGGCAGAAAACCACCGGGGACCCTGCATCGGTAGGCACTTGGACCGTGGAAGACCCTGGCCCCAACAATGCAAGCACTAGTGGTTTCAAGAGAAATATTTGGAAAATTCGGAATGAGTATCTACACGTGTGCACTCCCCAGGCCCTCTAGGAGTAGTCACCATCTGTTACTCAGAAACACTAACAGAAGTGGGGTTCGGTCTGCAAGTGAACGGTGCAGCCAAGGTCGCTGGGTCTGAGAGTTCCTCAGGGGCATCCTCTCCCTGGAGGACAACGCCGAGCGTGCTATCTGGACCACTGTTAATCACGGCAGACTTGAAATCAAACCAGAAAGTTAAAATGCATGTCCAGTGCTGGACCTACTTAGCCAGGGCTGTGATCTCTTGTGACTTCATGGCATCGGACAGGAAGCTGAGCTCGTTGCATAAGGTTTCGTATCGGAATGCCATCCGGATCTGAGCAACGTTTGTCTTTCGAATATCATTTCCTTCGGGTCCTTCTTTATAATAATGCTGTCCCAGAAACTTCTGCTTTTCCTGTGGACCAAGAGAAATACGAATGAAGCAATACACCTGAGATTCACTTTCTCTCCCACACAGCGGCTCTGGCATGCAGATGCGCCCCTCAGCACGTCTCCATCAGCATCCTTTCTCCACAGGGCTCTTAGGAAATTCCTCCTGGCCTCCGTGTCCTCAAGGATGTCACCCTTCATTTCCCACTATGCTGTCCTTGATCAGAAAGGAAAGATGACTGCTGGTGAGGACAAAGGCGAGGTGAAGACTCTCAGTCCCTCCTGAGAGCTGACAAGGGCAGACAGTCAGGTGTTGGGGAGAGCCAGTCCTGGGAACCAAACACACAGAGTGAGTCCTCAGCCTCCAACTCCTCTGCATCAGCATCAGTAAGAGCAGCACCAATACAACCCTCTTCCTGTGCCAGTGACATCACCCAGCGGGGGTACCCAGACCCAAGACACCATCTAGAGCAACAGGTCTCAACCCTGCACGTCAGAATCACCTAGGAAGCTGTAAAAAAAAAATTGCTGATGTCCAGGTCCCGTCCCTAGAGTTTTTAAATCAGTCTAACTAGTGTTCATCTATTCAACAAACACTAAGCGCCCAGGATGTGCCAGGGACTGTTCTAGACCCTGGGGATAGGATGCCGAACAAAACAGTCTCCACCCCAGTGGAAATTCCACTCTAGAAAGAAAGACAGAAAAATACAAAACTATATATTGCAAGATAAATAATGGTAAATATTTCGAAGAAAAGTCGATTAAAGGGATGGGGAACGAAGGCAAATGTGTCTGTTGTAGAACGGCTGACAGGACGGCCTCTGAGGGGCAGACATTTGAGTGAAGGTCTGAAAAAGGTGACAGCAGCCAGGAAGACTCACACGGCTCCTCCTCGGTATTCGTCCCTGGAGCATGGGTTTCAGTGTGACAGAGACCCTGCTCGTCCCCTTCCTCCCTGACCCCAGAGCCTGGAAAGTACCAGGCTCACAGGCAGGCCCTGTGCACGGGCAAGGACAGCGGGCCGCCCGCCCCGTACCTGATGCGAGAGGCCGCTCTGCAGCACGCTGTTCCTGGCGATTTCACACAGGTCACACGTGCTCAGCTTCCACACCTGGGCTGCAATTGCATATTCTTCCATAAGCGCTTCCTAGATCCCCCCAAAGTAAATGTATTAGATGGCAGAATGTCGGCTTCAGTGCCTCACAGATTCCCCAGCTAGAAACATCAAACGTTATTTGATGACTAGCACCTGGATAATCAAACAACATCCTCCCCTTTAAATGACAAAGGGAAAAGATCTTTTTTGTGTGAAACCTCAGGTTACCAAGGAGATACATATCAGAGAGCCTACATATATGTGTTTGTTAAGTAGCACATGTTCAAAGCCCTGAGCACCATGGTCACGGGGCACCAGCCTGCCCTCCCGTGACAGGCTCCTGGGTCAGTCATACCTTTAGTACCTGCTCTATGGCTTTGTCTTTTATTTAACAGACCATTTTCTTAAGATTGTCCAAAAATAAAAGTTAATCTGAGCAAAGTACCAAGAGCAGTGATCGAACCCTAAGTCAAAATGAGAATGACCAAGTGTGAGCATTGAGACAGTGCGGGGCCTGGGTTCGGGCTGTGCTTTCGCTTCATCCCCTGGGATGCGACGAGCCTGGTGACCGAGCCCTTGTATCACCTCGTTGCCGCCCCACTGCCTCTGTGTCCCAGAGCAGCGGTTCTTAAAATGTGGACACAGGACCCTGGGGGTCCCCAAGGCCTTTTAAAGGGCCCTCCCTTTTCAACCTACATATCTTTGTGAGACAGGGTTTATTTCTCACAACAGAGGGAATGCCAATACGAGACACCGTCTGTCTTCTGTTAAATCGGACATGAAAGAGATTTGCAAAAATGTAAAACAATGCCATTTTCTTATTTTGTTTTGGAAAATACGCTTTTCATAAAAATTGCCATTTAAGTAACATTTAACAGGTTTATTAACATTATTTTTAAATGAGTTAACATTTTTCAACCTTTCACTCGTTTCTAACATAGTTCAATGTCACTAGATGTAACTCATGTAGACAGCAGCGCTCTGAGGGCCTCCATTCTTGAGCATCTGAAGGGGTCTTGAGACCAAAAGCTTGGACTGGGAACCTGTCCTCGAAGACTCTGGTGCTTCTGTTTTTACTACTCAGTGGCTGTCTTATCGATGCCATCGACATGTGCTCGGCACACTGATGGCTGGTCCCCATGAGTGACATCACCTCTCCCTTCCTCTTTCCTTTCCCCAGAGAGCCAAAGTGCAATAATAAAACAGTATTAACAAAAACGGTAGCTAACATTTTGGATACGTGCTATATGCAAACACTGTTTTAGACTGTGGTTCATTATCTTAGTGGAGCCTTGCAATACAGTACAGGTAGCTGTAGAGCCAATTTTATCTCCATTTTACACACGAGAAGGAGTAACAGAGAGAGACATCAAGTAACTTCACTAGCATCATGGAGCTAGTGAATTCAAAGGCAGGGAAAACAGAACAAGGCAAGGAATTGCAACTGTGCCTTCAAAGATTCAAGGACCCTGAAAGCACACGCCTGGGAGGAACTCTTCCCTCACCAGGAGCTTCCCTGCTGTCTTCACTGGGCCCCCCACCCACCCTGAGAGCAGAACTGAGCCTTATGCTCAGGTGCCTGCAACAGCCTAGGACCGGGGCCTGCCGGGGACCCCTGAAGTCCTCACCTTCGTGTAGTGGAACTGCATGGGGTCATCGGTGGAGAGAGAGACATGCAGTCCCTTGTGCAGGAATTCCCTCAGAGGGTTTTTGGAATACTCGAGGAACAGACTGTTGTTGCTGAGCGGAGACATGGCAATGGGGATCTGGGCCAGGTAGTAGAGATACTGCAACACCGGACTCTGCAAAAGAACCACCAAACTCAGGTGACCAGGGGAGGGAGGGGACAGGGTGGACAGGGAGGAAGCAGAGGAGAAGCATCATCAGTGGAAGCCAGGGGCCTAAGCAGTGTCTGTGCACATCCCCAACCAAGCCCGAGTTCCCCAAAGCCATGTCGCCCATCCCCCTCGCCTCCCCTGACATCTCCATTCACCTCATTCTTGTCACATGCCCATCCCTCCCTGGGACTGCCCTCCTGTCCAGTGTTGGAAGTACTTGCTCTTTCCCCCAAAGTGGGGGCCAGCTCAGGGCAGGAAGGGCAGTTACATGGCCCAGCTGACCCCAACCTGCAGACTCAGCTCCCCTCCCCTAGGCGCTGACCCCGACTGGTCAGTCCAGAAGATGCCCCACTTGGTTCCTTGGTTGCTCTGACTGCAAACATCCAGGCTGAGACTGCAAACACTCCGGATCCTCAGGGTGGGAAGGGGCAGACCTGACTGGGCTAGAGCAGCTCTTTGGTGCAGCACCTACCCCACACGGAACTGCAGCTGGTGATTAGACCTCTCCAGGACCAGAGCAGGGGAGCAGTTCAAGCAGACGCTGCCCTGTGAGGGTGGTCCAGATGACGGAGAAGACCCAGTGCAGAGTTCATGGTAGCACTATTTATATCAGGGAAAATCTGGGACTCTGTCCAGAATCAATTACAGACCATCTAAATGGCAGGCCATCCCTCCATCGGCCTTCAGAATGAGGAGCATAGATATTATGTTGCAGCACAGAAAAAATGCTCAGTATACAAAGTTAACGGACAAAAAAAGGAACCAAAAATCTGTCTTCATTATTAAAATAAGCATTTAGAAATGTGCTCTGGGGAAAAAAAGGTTGGAACTGGGAAAACTAAAAAGCTGTAAGTGGCTGTTTCTGTGAAAGCAACAGCAACATAGGTTTTTCTCCCCCATCTCTCCATGTTGGAAATCCAAACTGTGTTATAATTCTACAGTTATATATGAAACCAAGATGACTACAGACAGCCCAGCCCAGAAGAAGGTTCCACTGGCCAGAGGCTCCCAGAGGGCAAGCAGGAACCCAGGAGTCCCCACTCCCCCACCAGGGGAGCCCAGGGCAGGACCGCCACCGAGGGACGGTGTCCGTGAACGGCCTGGTCACCTTCTTGAGGAGCAGCCCGTGGGAGATGTTGTCGGCAGTCAGGAAAGCAGACACCAGGTGGGTGATGGAGCCGGCTTCCCCACAGTGAGGCCGGAACAGGAACGTGCTCAGACCCCGTTCCCTGCAGGACAAGTGAGGCAGGCTCTCCGTCAGCAAGAACTCCTGGGCCACGCTGCCCAGGACCCCGCAGGCGGGGATCCTAGCTCAGGGCCTACTTCAGGGGAGACAGTCACCCATGGTGGAGTCAGCACAGCGGACCCAGGACACCCTGGAAATTGTCCCTCCCAGAATTCGGAGGCCAGGCCCAGATACCTCAGAGCCAAGAGACGCCATCCCTGAGGAACGGAGAGGGGGGCCTTGTGGGAGAAAGACCCTGCCCGGCCCTCCACCCACTCCTCCCCTTCCTCTCTCCGCCAGGCCTGCAGCCCAGATTCACAGACGTTCAGAGCCAGGGAAGCCAGGAGAAATCTGAGTCCAACTTCATTGTTATGCAAATGGAAAAACCCAGAGAACCCAGAGAGTGGAGCTGAGCAGGTCCATGGCAGAGCCAGAACCAGAGGCCCCTCGTCCAAACGCTCTGCCCCCACCCAACACCAGGCCAAGTGCTTTCAGTGGGTCCCCTGCAAAACCTCCACCCCCACAAATGAGCACTGGCTGAGGCTGAGCTAGTTAGGCCCTAGGGCCCAGCGGGGGTGGGAGCCCCAGGGGCACGGGTGGCTCAGTGTCCTGTGCCCTGGGCACCCGACTCCAGCCACGCGTGCCTCCCCTGCGTGTGTGCACTGGTGGGAGTCTGTGCATGTGAGACCATCGGCTGCCAGCTCTGTGAGGACACGGGTTTAGTCTGCTTTGTTCCCTGCATATATGTGTCCAGTGTCCAGGACAGAGTCATATAGTGGGTACGATGACTTATTTCATGAATAATTGCATGTGTGAACACTTGGTGTGGTGGTAAGCGAACATGCATGTGTTTGCACAGCTACATATCACATCAGGGATGGACAGGTACACGAGTAGTTTCTTTGTGGATGTAAGTGAACATGTGTGTGTACAGGCATGGGGTTTGGCTTCGTGGGATGCATGATGGACTGTGTCTGCAGTGGGTGTGACTGCATGTGTGGGTGGCCCCAGGTAGTCAGCGGGGGCATGTCCCTGGGTCTCAGGTTTGAGGGCCCGTGGCCACGAGTGCAGGGCCGGCCCACCCACCTGCGGAGGTTGTTGAGCACCATAATGTTGGCGTACATGTAGTACAGGTAGTAGCTGTAGGGCGGGTTCTGCTCACTGGTCCAGACGTCCGGGTTGGGGCTCTTGTCTGAGAACATGTGGTCACTGTGCTTGGACTCATCATCCACGCTGTCAAACCCCGTCACCTGGGAGGGACAAGGGGTCCTGCATCAAGCTGAGGCCAGTGAGCTGCCGGAGGCCTTGGAGTCCAGGCCTCTCAGGTTCGCACCTCAGCTGAGAGCCCAGGGTCACTGCCAAGGATGGGGAGCGGGCACAAGGCCACCATCTATGCCTCCAGGGCTTCCAAAGGCACCCGGAAGGCCAGACTGGAGAGTGCTGAGTCCCTGTGTCATGGCAAGGGGACATTCGGGCCAGGGGAACAGCGAGGCAGCCATGCCCACTGCCCATACCCACTGCTGTGTCAAGGAGGAGGCCAGTGCTGCAAGGCAGCCACTGCCATCAGCAGCAGGGACTGCTCCTCTGAGGGGGAAGGGGACAGGCATTTCCCATGCAGCTGCTATACTTCAGGCCCAGCCTGAAGGGCTTACCACACATCAACCAATTTAATCCTCAGAGCGACCCTGCGAGGGAGGGCTTGGCGGTGAGCAAACCAGAGCCAAAGCGATTAAGCAGCTTGCTCATGGGAGACCACCAGGCTCGGAGTCTAAATGGGCTCAGCATCTGGACTCTGGGGCTGTAGGTGGAGAATGCCCTGGGGCATGTCCCAGGTGCACTCACGAAAAAATAGCCTGGAAGCTTCACAAGCAGGCCGAGGTGGGCCCCATTCAATACGGCCCCTTGGAAGGCTGAGCCACGGCTTTGGGAGGAGGTGGCTCTGCTCGCCAGCTCCTCCCTGGGAACTGCCCTCTGAGCCAGCTCAGCTGGGGTCCAAACTTCGACCCCAGGGGCCCCGCCCTAGTCTCAGGCTTCCTAGTCACCTGATCCCAGAGGTCAGGCCCTGACCACAAATGTACCTACGAGGACACAGGCTCTCGGCCAGGACGTGAGGCAGCTTTGCTAACGTGTCCCTCCTTTCACTCACGCACAGCAGTGCTCTGGGGAGGGGGGCTTCTGAAAGACCGCCCACTTTGCTCCACTACCGGCCCAGACTGGGGGCTCTCAGCCCAAGCCCACCCAGGTCTGCTTCTTCTCCCAAAGGAGCAAGGAACCACCAGGGTCTGTCGAGAATATTTCCTGTCACGGAGCCACGTGTGTCAAAAGGCGAGTCCCCGCTGTAGTCTCAGCATGGCCTGCAGGGGCGTGGGCAGTAGGGGAGCGTCGAGCTCTGCTCTCCGTGCTCACTAGCTCCAGGCCTCACCGGAACTCTCAGGGCCTGGCAGGGGGTAATGTCAGCCCCTCTCCTGGGCTCTGTTCCAACCGATGCAGGGCCTCGGGCTGAGCCTTAACTCTTCCTCTTCTTCCTTAAGTCTGCTCTTCCCCCACTGTGAGCAACGGCCCCTGCAAGGAGCACTGTCCCCTCCCCAACACAACCAGGCACCAGCAGGCCCCCTAGGCTTTTCCCTCCAGCTCACTGAAGGCTCTGCTGGGTCCTGCCAACCTACACGCATGCCCTTCACTCTGCCCGGAGTCCCCGGCCTGCCTCCTGTGCACGCCACGTGTTTCTTACTTAGGCTGCAGTACAGTGTAGGGGTAATGGCACCTGCTCGGGAGTCAGGCACCTGGATATGATGAGCCCCAGTTCTGCCACCTGTTAGTTTGAATCCCCTCATGCGCACACTGGAGCTCGGAGCTCCGCAGGGCTGGTGTGGGGATTAAATGAGACAATCCCCGGAGAGCACTTCGCACGGGCTCCGACACACGGCAAACACAAACACTGCGTGTTATTAACACCGACACGGTGTAAAGTAGGGCAGTGAGGAGGTCGAAGCACGATCATGCCGCGGTGTGGGCCACCGGGGAGGGCAGCAAGCGATAACTGAGCTGTTACGGCGAGTTCAAGTCCCGCCATCTGTCTGATTGCAGGAACAGGCCCCTGACTCTTATCTTGCCCCCTCCCCAACCTCCAGCCACCTTCTGTTCTGGGCCATTCACCACAACAGCCAGGATGGCGTTTGTCTAAAACATACAGTCCACGGTGTCCCTCAGCTTGTTCAAACCTTTCTGGTAGCCCTCCCCCACCCCCCACACACACATGCACCAACTCAATCACCCCGCCCCAGGACCCCAGCCCTCCGGCATCTTCCCTGCCTCCCTCCTTGTCCGAAATCATCTCCATAACCTCCCCCAGATACTGAACTTGCTTCTCACTGTCTCCAGCTACCTCCATGCCAGGCACACAGAGCAAGCGACCAGCTCCGGTCCCCCTTACGCCCTTTCTCGCTGGCCTCTCCTACCTCCCTTCTCTCCGTCTCCCTAACCAGATACGGAAGGTAGGTAATCTTTTGTGGGGCTTGTGTGCTTAAGGTGTGAGGACTGTCTTTCTAGGTAAAAGCAGGAGAGCTGAAATGTCTGCCTTTCTAAAGAACACAGAGGCTGCTGCTCAGTGCTGCTGGGGCAAGATCAAGTCTTTCCAGCCCCACCCGGCCAGGAGCTGGTTCCTCAGTCCTGCCCCAGCACCCTGCCCCCACCCCCAGCCCCAGAGCTGCCCCTGAGGAGACAGGTGGGAGAAGTGCTGTTTTAGAAATTCGGCCTCTTGGGGCTGGCAACGCCAAGCCTGGGGCACAGCAGGGACAGGATCTGAGGAGGGAAGCCTGGTCCGACCCACGGAGAATCCTCCCCTTGCTCCACCGCTGCGCCCTCCGCTCTTAGCCAGGACACCACCCCTGCTTACATATTTGAGGAAGAGGTGAAGCTCTCGGTGATCCTGGGGGTTGATTGTAGCCTCGAAAAGGGGCAGGAAGATGTTTTCCAGCATCTTCCCAAAGTTTGGCAGCAGCTTCTTTGACCTAAATATGTCACTGGGGAAAGCAAAGACAATGATCAGGGTGGGCCTGACAGCCCCCTTGGCCCGTCTGAGGTTTACCTCAGTCATTTTCTTAAGCAGCTATCCTCACCGTTGAAACACCCAGAGTGAAGGCAGAGGTGTGGCCTGAACCCAGACCCTCCCCCTGCTCTCCAAATCCCCACAACTTCTGCAACACCAGGCACTGGCTGGCGACTCAGCACCTACCCAACCCATCAGGGAGCCCTCTCCAGCCAGAGGCCTTCCTGGGAGAAGGGCGGAGGGGTTCTGGCTGACCAAGGGTCTGAGAGATGAGTCCTCCTATCGCCCAGTGATCCAAACTCTCCACCACTCAGCTCAGTTCCCCTAAACCACAAGCCCCAGCCTGTCCAGGGCCAGGAACCCCCACGCCAGCCAGATGGGGGAGGGCAGTGGTGGTCTGAGTCAGATTTAGGGAGAGGGCCAGCAATGGAGGCCACTCACCCAAAAGGACATCTGCATCCTGCAGCGAGAAGAAGACAGGCAGTCGTTCCCGCCAGGCATTTGCACATATATATTCTTTAAAGAATAACAACTTGTCACAAAGACTTTCTGCTGACCACCCCTTCTTACAGGAAAATCCCTGGGGAGAAGAGGCCTCAGTTCGCACCAGAACAGGTCCCACCTGTCAATAGTGCAGGCTCAGTGGCCCATGCAGGACAGGCTGGGGCCCCAGAGAGCTCAGGCAGACAGCAGGCCAATTCACTTACTAGATCCGGGGCACCTGGATGATCCAGCGCATGTTGGGTGAGTAGACCTTGTGCTGGATGAACCAGCGGGCCAGGCTGGGCCACTCGTCAGGACTGCGGCCGTAGATGGAGAGCCGCGGCTCTGAGTACTGGTACTTGCTCTCCTCCAGCTCCCGGGCCACCTCCTGGCACCAAGAAGAGCTCAGGTCAGGCCAACAGCACCCCAGCTGCTGGATCCTGCCGCTCCCTCAGCCACCTGCTCCCAGGCTGGGAAGGCCTCATCTACATCACCCTGCTGCCAAGTACGTACTCACTCGCCTCAGCAGAGGCCCCCTCCAGGAGAGAAAGGCCTGGGGTTTGCACCACCGTGTGCACAACCAGGCCAAGCAGCAGACACGGCTCCACATGGAGCTAAGCTGCTCCCAGCCAAGTGCAGGCTGCAGACAGACAGGGCAGCAAGGCTGGACGCTGTGAGTGCTCCCACGGTGGATACCCTCCCCCTGCCCTTGCCTGCAGTGGACACTGGCCTGCCCAGGCTTGGGAGCTGGCGGCCAGGGCAAGAGCACTGGGCCCTGAGCACCTGGACCTCACTGGAGCTGGACAGTGGATGGACAGGGATTTGAGAAGGACATGACGACAGGCCACACACACGCCCCGCCCCCACCCCCGATGCTGTCAGGTAGCTGAGGAGGACTTGGAGAGGCTGAGGGCTCACCTTGACCATCCGAGCAAAGTACTCTCCTCCCAGGTAGTTCTCAGTTTTCAAATACAGGTCCCGCAGCTCACTGGCCCCCACAGGGTTGTATTTCGAGTTGAACTTGTCAAAGCGGTGGAATGTCTGCCGGCCCTGGAAAGAGGAGGCCACCAAATAGATTCACCACACCGTTCTGCGGCCACCACACACTCTCCTTCCCAGGCCTTTACAAGGTGGCCTTACACACGGCCACGCTGAAAGATGTCTTCTATGTCAGTTCTTGCATAAACTCTTGGAATGCCCTGGGGCCAGGCCCAGGTATCCCCGCTCGGTCAGCCTGGGCGTCCCTCTGTGAGGCCCTCTGTGAAAGAGGACCAGGCAGGGGGCCTCGTGCCCTAAGCTACTGTGGCTCAAAGCACCACGGAGTGAGCAGAGTACTAAGCAACTGAACAATCAATAAGGTGTGTCCTGTTACCGCTTAGACTTCAGAAGGCACTGTTTCCACCGTATGTCATTCTTCAACACAGACTTTTTTATTGTGGTAAAACATGCACAGCACAAAATTTACTCCCATGGCCATTTTAAGTGTTCAGTTCAGGGGCGTCAAACACATTCATGTCGTTGTGCATCCATCATCACCATCCGTGTGCAGAACTCTCTCCATCTTGTGAAACTGAAATTCTGTGCCCATTAAACAAGGACTCCCCGTTCTCCCCTCCCCTCAGCCCCCAGCATCCGCTACTCTCCTTTCTGTCTCTGCAAACTTGCCTGTTCTAAGCACCCCAGACAAGTGGAATCAAACACTGTCCTTTTGGATGTGGCTCCTTTCACTTAGCGCAATGTTCTCCAGGATCATTCCTACTGTGGCTGATATCAGACTCCTGTCCTTTTGAAGGCTGAAAAACATTCCATCGCATGGACGTGCCACATTTTGTATTTCCATTCACCTGTTGATGGATACTTGGGCTGCTCCTGCCTTTGGGGCATTGTGAATTCTGCTGCTAGAAGCCTTGAGATGGAAGTATCAGTTTTAGTCTCTGCTTTCAATTCTTTGGGGAACTGACCTGGGACCAAAACCACTGGAGTCTGTGGAAATGCTATATTTAACTTTTTGAGGAAACTCCATACTGTTTCCTATAGTAGCTGCACCATCGTTTAGTATTTTAATTACTTTGAAATGTCGATGGGCTTGTGGCATTCACCATTCTATAGGCAAGGAAATAGGAATGTAAGTGAGTTGCTTAAGGACACACAACTCCTCAGTGACAGAAGTGGAATTAGAACCGGGACCTGCTGACTCCCGGTGGCAGCCCTGTGTCAGGGCTGTTCCCTGCCTCGCTGCTCTGAGGCCGAGTGATCCCTCACGGTCTCCACGGCTAGAAGAGGAGGAGCTGCTTACACACCCAGCCTCTCTCCCAGCACAATCGTGGCTCCGTTTCAAGGGGCTGAGTCCCCAGCCAGGACCGATGGAGGCGCCGGGGCAGAAGCTCACTCACCGCGTGGACGTCCAGCGAATCCACAGTGAGGTCATAAGGGTCCATGTGCAGGCTGTCAAACACCTGCCGCAAGGTGATCTTCCGGCCCTGCTTCTCCGTCACAATTCTGTCAGGCTCCGTCTGGTACGTGTGCTTGATGAAGCGCAGCAAGTGCTTCTGGTTCATGCAGGCAGCCGCATGGATGTGCGTGTCCACCTGCAACACAGAGCCCGCCGACCCCTGAGCTGGGGCACCTCCGCTGGCAACAACAGGCAGGACTCCCAACCCTTGAGGGGGAGCACAGAGCCCCCTTCTGACCTTCTGGGCCATGGAGGCAGCCCCCACCAAAGCCTGGATGCCCCCTCCCCATTGCTTCTCTAGACACTGGGACTGGTCTCCGTTCCTCTGGCCTTGCTGCCCAATCCTCCTCCTTCCAGCATCAAGAGATCTTTTTAAATTGCAGGCTGCATCCGGCCACTCTCCTCATGACAAAACATCAATGCCCCTCATGTCTTCAAGATTAAGCTCAAGCTCCTTAGCCTGGGATTCAAGGCTGATGTCAAGCCTTATCTTTGCTCTGACCGGCCCGGTTTTCTGCTTCAGCCACGACAGCATTTCCAGGTGCCCGAGGCAACAGGCTTTCCCACACCACGTCACGTTGCCCATGAATTTCCTTGGCCTGGCATTCCTTCCTTTTTACTCATCGCTCTCATCCACCTGGAAATTTCCTCCAACCTCCACTTGAAAGCCAGTCCCGATCCCCCAAGCACTGCTGATGAGCCTCCCCTCGCCCAGCCCGGGAACCTGACATGCGCAGTACAGACTCTCCCTGTGCTGTGCATGTCCTCCTGCTCCGCTCTACTTTCCTGGCTTCCCCTTCACTAGACTGGGAGCTCCTCAAGGACAGGGATCATGTCTGAAGCATCTAAATCTCCAGCACCTTCCCCAGAGCCTGATATGATGTATTAATGAAATCGATTCATGGGTGAATAAAACAAATGAACAGGTATAATAGGCCCCAGTAGTTTTGATAATATCCACATGCTCGTATAACACTGAGAGCCCACAAAATCCCACTCCACCTACCGACCTGTCTTAGAACCCCTAGAGCCTTCCCTTCGGCTACCAGCGTCAAAGAAACAGAGCCCTGGCCAAGCTGAGGACAGCCTAAGGTCACAGTGGGCCTTCTGGCTCCCCTTCCAAGCGCCCGAAGGGCCTAAGGGAGGTTCCCAGGAGGGTGGTAGCAGCCTCACTAGCCAGGGTGCCACTGGCAGCCACACTGCACTATGCAGTTACTTCTGCAGCTAACCGGGCACTGTGCCAGGCCTGGGAATGCTGTCCACACTGGCCAGGCATCTCCAAGTCATGCCAGGCCAGACATTTGATCTAGAACCTGTCCCAGCATTATACCAGCCTGCCCATGTCACTCATCAAGGCCCTTCCTGCCATTAATACAGGAAGACAGACCACTAGACATCAGAGAAAAGAAACAATTCCAAGCACCAAAAGCATAGTACAAAGACTCAGGCACTTCAGGGATGGGCTGGGCTCAGGTGGCCACACAGGGGAAGGTCAGCTTGGCTTAGCGCAGCCAGACACAGCTGGACTCGACCACCTCAGCGTGACTCAACACATTCCCGGTTTTCCTGTCACAACCTCCGGCTTACCAGTGACACACTGCAGGGGTACAGTATATCTTTGCTCCCCTGAGTCACAAGATGAGTGAGGAAAACAACTGGACAATGCAGAAAGCATCCAACTTCAAAATATCCAAGATGATTATTTTGAGAACACATAAAAGACCTCACTAGATGTCAGTGTTTTCACTTCACTGGAAGATCCAACTGCATTTCTTCTTTCTCCTAACATTCAGGTCTCAACAAGCAGCAGAGTTTCCAGACAGGGCAGGCCGATATCTGGCCCCGAGGCCAACAGTGACTGTTTCCATACCCATGCAGACATCAATAATCAATTACAGCACCTTTTCACTACACTTCGGGAGCAGCCTGAGGTAGTCACTCCTAACTGGTCGTTTGGCACAGAACATGAAACCTGTTTGCTATCCCTGATACAACACAAACCGGTCAAGGCCTAATTCCACCCAACTCCCAAGCCGCAAACTTACTCAGCCTCTCTTTCTTAGCTCTGAGCAAAACACATTTGTCTCCGTCACACAGTCCTGCCAGTTGGGCCCTGTGGTGTCATAGCCCATGACCTTCTGCAGTGTTGCAGGTACTATCACAAACACCACCCACATCGTCGCCACGCGCAGCTCTGCCGAGCACGGCCCTGGCGTGCCCCCACCATGCTGCCAGCCACCTCGGGAACACGGAGGCCACCCTGGGTTTCAGAAAGCCAGCTCTCCCCCCACAGTACCAGCTCCCAGGGTAAATAAAATCCTAGGAACTAACTTCAGAAGATACAGACCCCAACCTTCAGGGCATCCCAGCTCCGGAGATGTGCTGGCCTTTAACCATGGATCTAGGATGACAGGAATCCAGGATGACTAACCCGGGGTGATGCACACCGGACCATCACTGTCCGTCTCGGAATGGGCGGGGCTCATCTGCACGCAGAGGACTTTGCAACCCCCTCCCTTGATCTCTTCGTTCTCTTCCCCTCTACTTCCCATAAACACCTCTGCCTGCACTGAGAGGTGGAGATGGGCTCTGTGACAAGAGTCCCCCATCTTCCAGGTGGCCAGCATCTGCAAATAAACCACTTTCCTTTACATCAGCAACTGCCTCAAGTATTAGCTTCCGTAGCGGTGGGCAGCCAGACCTGCGTTCGGTTATAGTGTCACAGCACAGGGGTCAAGGCCATCTCTGTCCAGACAGCACATAACCCCAGAGTGACAGAGAACCCTGAGGATGGGCTCTGGGGTGTAACAGAGCCCCACAGGGACTCTCCCACACTATAGCCAGAGAGCAGCTGGTCAGCCCAGAACACCCACTGGGTCCCCCCTCCATAAGACGCAAACAGGGTCAGAACCGGTGCTGCCAGCAAGGACCCCTGGGCCCAGTGGCAGGAAGCAGTCAGGCCCGGAGCATTCACCCATAGGGGGCAGGATGGCACGGGGCCTGGGTGCCCATCTGGGCACGTGCTGGACATGCAGGGTGCACTTGGGCAGGGCCGAGAGGAGCTTGTGTGGACACTGAGATGCCCACCTGTCTGAACACCTAAGGCTCACAGAGAAGCACAAATGGTGCTTGAAGGTGAAAATGCCAGGAAGGTAGTGTCTACACATACTCTTTCACCTCCGTCTGGAAATTCCCAAACACTTCCACAAGACTCACAGACCATGAGCTGAAGCCAGGCTCTCATTTCTTAAGGACTCCATCGAAGTGGGAGTCCATGCCAGACACCAGGATGCTTAACAGACATGATCCTGGGGCCTCCCCAGAGGGAGCCTCCTGCCTCCAATGGCTGAGGGCGGCCAGCCAGAGCTGGGCTTGCCCAAGGGAGCCACACCCTCCCTGGCCCTGCTCTCCCTTATCAAAGGTGACCCAGAGAGCGGGCAGTCCTCCAGAGGTCCCATCTGGGACAGAGGGCCCTGTGGAGGTGATGACTCTGCTGTGATTCAGGTGTGATCATTCCTCTTCCAGGCAGGTAGCCTGATCTCATCAGCTTCTCTCCCAGCTAATTACCATACCCCAGCCACTCCCTGCTTCCTCTGAGAAGCCCACGGGCCCTGCAAGATCCAGAGCCCCACACACCTCTGCAGCCTCCCTTCCCCCAGCCTCTACACCTGAGCTCCAGCCACACTGCACTGTAGCGGTTATGCCGACACAGGGCTCCACCCCTCTCCTCTCTAACACCACTCTCCCCCTCCTGGCATTTGCAGTGCGTCACCTCTGCCTCCTCTGCCTGGGATGCCATCGCTTCCTTTTCCCGACCCCACCCTCTTCCCTGCTAAATCCTACTCTTCAAGCCATCTCAGTTCCAGCCTCTCCCAAAGCCACTCCTGTCACTATTGACTTGGAACTTCTTATGGACAGGAAGTGACTCTCGTTCAATATCAAATGCCCCATGCTTGGCACTAATCCCTTGCCTTGCTGTGTATTAGTTAAATGGGAAAAAATGGGAAAGCCAGAGACCAAGGTCATTCACCACGTGAGCCCAGGCCAAGCTCTCTCAGAGGGTCTGCAGAGAGGGAGCACATGCTTTTTAAACACATCTGACCTCAAAGGAAGCAAAAGCAGAAACTCCCAAGTCCAAAGAAGTCAACCTTTTTTCTCCATGATGAATTTAACACATCTTCTCCCTTCCCAGTAACCTGGCCTCAACTCATGACCAGTTAAGAGGTCATGTCTATTTTCCAAGCAACAGGGCACACTCCAACAGATACGCAACGTGGGTACCAAGCACCATTGGAGGCATCGTGGCCTGATGCACCAAAGGCAGCCCGCCTGTCTTCCTTCCGCTCATCGCATCACACTGCTCTGCCCAAGGAAGGCCGCACAGCAGACCAACCCCAGACGGGCTCAGCACATGCCAGTGGGTTGAGAGGGTGACCGGGAGGGGTCTGCACACTGGCCCTCGAACACACCTTTCTCACATTATAGAAGTCTCGGTGGGGGTTACTCTTCAACTCTTTGAACTCGGACATTTCATTTAACATCTCGTGAAGGCCGAACTTGGATTCCAGAAAGTTCAGTCGTCGATGACAATACGTTTTCCTGCAGATCGGGAAGGGGGAGATACCATAGTGAGAAGTCTCATCAAGCTCTCCAGTTTGGGGACCTCCACTGCATGCCGGGCTAACCCTCAGGTGGAAGGTCAGGATGGAGAGGGAGGGCTGAGGAGGTCCCAGCTCCCCACCAACCCACCTGAGCTGTGTAGCCACATCCCCGTGCTCTATGAAACCAGCGGGCAGCTGGCCCAGGGCAGTGGAACTGACTTTGCAACCTCATACAAGTTCTTTCACTTCTAGTTCTATGTGCTTAGGCAATTGATCTTGAGCCTCTACTTCCCATGAACAAATACAGAGCAGGCAATGCCCAAGATTAACAGGAAGGTTAAATTGGTTTATACATATGAAGGACCCGCCTCTGAGCAGAGTGGACACTCAGTAAAAAATCTCCCTCCTTCACCCTTCCCTTTTGTTTTCCTCCCATCTACCCTCAGCCACCTGTAATTCTTTGAAAGGAATTTAACTTCTGCCCAGGAGACCGAGAACACAGTTGGACTCCCAGGCATGACCTGACCACCTTGGCCTGCAGAGAAATCACCATCTCACCAAAACATCTCTCCCAGACCCCAAGACCTAGGGACCTCTCAACTCTGAGGCTTGCATTGTGGGCAGAAAGGAAATGCAGAGATGTTCGTTACTAAGACATAAATCTCTGCTAAAACCAATGCCCCCACCAGCTAGCAAAAAACCCATTGGGGTGGGGTGCTCACTGCTGGAGGCCAACCGCCACCCCACGCCCAGCCCGGATGCCTGGCCACACGTCTGTGTCCACAACCAAACGAAATCTGCAACCGCAGTTCGTGCCACCTGCTTCCTTGTGCCCCCACCAACAGCAGCTCCCTTAGCACCATTCAGACTTTCATAAAGAGCCCCAGAGAGGCTGGCAGGAGTGTCTCAGGGTCACAAGGGATTTCAAAGGTCATCTCACCCAGGCTCTGTGCCAAGCGGGATTCACCGTGAGAGCTGCACCTTCACCGTCTTCCCCTCCCTCTCAAGGCTTTCCCTCAAAGGTTCTCACTTGGCCGGCGGGAGGCAAGCCTCTCCGGAAATGCCCCTCCCTCCCTCCCTCCTAGGTCTTATCTGCCCTCAGATCAGTGCGGGACAAGAGCCACCTGCCCATCCCCCTCAGGCCCATTCTCCTCCCTTAGATACTGGCCCCCAGTCCATTCCCAGCAAAACCCAAAAGGCAGGGCAAGAGAGAAGTTCCTCCGGGGTAACCAGCACCCTCTCCCTCTCCCAGGCCCCTAGTCCTGCCTGGGCACACACAGCACAGCCACTCAGTGTCCAGTCATGCTGGACATCATTGCTGATTAGCTTAGATGCGCACCCAAAAGTGAGGGACCAAATTCAAGAAGACAACCTCTTGCCAGGTTAGTATAAGCCAAGCCCACAAGCACCACAGGGGTGTCATGGCACCAAGCTCCCAGACTCCCGGCACTCTCCCCTCCAGAAACACAGAACACCCAACATCGGAAGCAACAGTCTTCATTGCTCCTCCACCATCTACAGGAATGGCCTGGGCTGCGGACTGCAAGGCTGTCACCACGCCTGGGAGGAAGCTCCACCTCCACGCATGCAGGACAGGTGAGACCAGCTCTAAGAATACGCCGGCCTGTGAAGGAGGTTTGCTGCAGAAACCCACAGAGCACTGGGTAAAGGGGAGACCACTCTTTCGGGGATGGTTTCAGTGCAGGAACACCCGGAGCAAAGGGGTGACCCAGGTGGATTCTCCCAGCCCCTTCCCTACAGAAGAGCACCCATCCAAGGAGAACAAGGAGAGGCAGCCTGGGGGGAAGCGGGCTTACGTGGGGCCATCAGTGATGAGGGCCAGGATGTGGCTCATGTCCACGGTGTAGGTCTCCAGGTCGGGGTAGGGCAGGCTGTGGGGCTCCTGGCGCTCCAGCATCTCCGGGTTATCGTACACGAAGAGGATGCCCCCCTGCATGCGGACCAGGTAGCCCAGGTTGGGGGGAGCATCATCTAGACAGTAAGGGTCTTCCTGGGGCAGTGGGAGAGGGTGGAAGTCTGCAAAACAGGATTGAGTGATGGCCAAGTGCCCTTGACCTCCTGAGCTTGTGTGAGCTCAAAAGTCACATTCTCAGTGAGGCCCGTCCTGGTCATCCTGTATAAACCAACTACCCCCACCTGCCCCCACCCACCCTGGCATCTCACACCCCCTTCCCTGCTTTACTTCGTTTCCCTAGCACCTACTACTATGTAAAATAATTTCACGTAGTTATCTTGGGTAGTATATGTTTGTTTTGTTCTCTGCTAGATCCTCATTTCCTAGAACAGTCCCTGGAACACAGCTGGCAAACTTTTAAAATTTAACTGGAATGAGCTGAAGTCTGCTGGGCACTTTAGGGCCACCAGGCATTCTAAAATGGTAGCTGTGTCTTCTGATAAGACAACAGACAGCAGCTGGGAACCCAGGGAGCATGACTGCCCCAGTCCTTCCAAGTCTTCCTGAGCCCAGGGCAGCCAAGGGCTGAGTAAGGAAGACTCCCGCTCCTTCCCCAGATGAGCTTGGCCTAGGGCTTGTGTCCCAGACAGCAGGGCATGCCCAAGGCAGAGCTGTCTTCCCTACCACTATAGGTTGAATTAGCCCACAGGAGGCAGAAAAGTACTCTTGGCTATTTCTCAGCTACAAGACATTGAGCAAACCACTTTACCTCTGATCCTTTCTGCTCATCTGAGGATTACACCCCCCTGCCTTAACAGCCTGTTATGAGGGCTGCAATAGAGGGTATAGGAAGATGCTTTGTAAATAGCAATGCCAGACACATAAATCATAGGGCATTATTCTCATGATGACTTTTCCTAGCTCTTCATGGGCTCTCTCTCTCTGGCCAAGGAACAGGTTCTGCTTAACAGCAGTGGACCTGGGGGCTTCCCCTCTGTACATTAGCCAACCCCACATCCAGTCCAGCTGCCCAGACGCCAGCCCAGGCAGGAGGAAACCCTGGAGTCTTCATCAAAGGAAGCAACCAATGTGGGGTGCCCTGCCTGGAAGTCCCCCATCAGTGCTCAGAGCAGACCGCGCCTGGAGCAGATGTGAGGCATCATGGGCTGAAGCAGCACAGAGCTGGGAACTGATGTGCCCCCATCAGGCACAGCCACAGGAGTCCCTAAAATGTGCCAGTGGCCTGCGGGACAAAGGCAGTATAACTGCCTGGGTGAAGCCACAGCCTCCACCCCACCACACTTCTGCCCAGGACCCCCGGTCACTCTGTCCTGTATAAAGTGCACATCTGACAGCCATTCCTGCCTGTCCTTGCCCAAAACGTGGCAGGTGTTACCAACTTCCCTCAGCCAGACAGAGAAGTGGGTGCGGAGGGGTTGGGACGTACCCAGGGCGCCCAGGGGTAATAGATACTCCCAGACCAGGTCTCAGAGCTACAAGGAAGCCAGAGATGGCACCGACTACACTCAGGGGGCAGGGGGCAGCCCGTTCACAGGCCCTGGCACAGACCACTAGGCCCTCATTGGGTCCCCCCCCAAATCTCAGTACCGAGGTTTCCTATTGTCCTCATTCACATCGCTTACCTACAGTCTCTGCTGCTCCTGGGCCCTTCGCAGGCCAAAGGGATCCCTCCTGCTCTCGCTGACCTCCCCTCCCCCAAACTCCGCAGCATAAACAAAGCTGCCAGTCAGCGAACACTCACTAGATGCCAGAACTGCGCTGAGTACTTCGCCTGCACTCCTTCACATAATCCTCTTAGGAGGCCCAGAGGACAGGCATTGTTAGTATTCCCCTTTTACAGCTTGAGAAACTGAGGTTTGGAGAAATACCTTGCCCAAGAAAGTGGCAGAGCTCAGATCAGAATATAAGAAAGTAGGTTTGACTCCAGAACCTACTTCTCTCGCCCTGGAACATGCCCGCTGTACTCACCCCCACCCCACCACCAGTGAGGCATTTAATGGCTGATCGGGTTGTTTCAAATACCCAACATGAGACTGCCTGCCTCCCTGGAAAACTTCCAAAATCTGGACTGTTTTTCCTCTCTCTCCTACCTTCCACACCTCAGCGCTATGCTGGGTGCAGCACATAGACTCAATCTTGGGGAAGCTAGCAAACTCAGTAGGAGAAATCAGTATCAGGTCCCTGCCCTTACAGCACCATCCAGGGGAGATGCATCCAGCTAGTGAAACATCCTGACCAACTCTTGGCCACGGCCCATTTGAAACCCCACCCGCAGCCCAGCGGCGTACCTGGGAGGGCCTCTGTTGGGGGTGCTGTGTCCGCCTGTGAATGACCCAGGTACTTGGCTGTGGTCCTTGGGAAGCGGTGATAGGCGAGTCGGGTGTACTTCTCCCGGATCATCAGGGCCTTGGCCAGGCTCTTGGCTGCCTGCTCATAGTCCTCCACAGTGATCTGCAGAAGAAGGTGTGCAGAAAAGCGTTCACGTAGCCAGCCTGAGACTGCTATCCTTAGCAAGATCTGCTGCAGGGCTGGCCCTTGGCTGGTAGCTGGCAACTTGGGTTTCAGAAGCATTCCCACAGTTCCCTAACTAATCAGAGTGGTTCACTATTTACACAAACACTCTGTTTACACGAACACTCTGGTTCAGGTTGAACATTTCCTTCTGGAAGCCTGCAATGTAGGATGTGCTATGCAGATGTGTGACCAGCTGCAATAAGATCTTTGGGCGCTGAGCCTCTAATGAGCCTCTGTGGTAGATGACAAGTCACACATATTGTCACAGTCTGATGCTGAGGAATTAAGTGTGTTCCAGTGACCCCACTGGGAGAGCGTCTCCTCCAGACTCTACCTCAGGGGCCTGTGCCCCGGGCTGATTTTGCTCTGCGTCCTTTCACTGTAAGAAATCCTAACGAGAGTACAGCTACGTGCTGCATTCTGGGAGTCCTCCTAGCAGATCACTGGCCCCAGGGGTGGTCTCAGGGACCCCCAACACAGGAAGAGAGTCAGAACTTCTGGGAGGGAGGCAGGTACTCCAGCCTGCACTCCCCAAGGCCAGCCCCAAGGCCGTTGACTAAGCCACAAACCTGCTGCACCCAGCACATGAAGACGGAAAGCCTGGACCGTATGCCTCATGAGGGTGAGTATCATCACTTTCAGTTGAGAAAATATATGGGCCCTTTGGAGATAAAAAAACAAAAACTGCTGCATGGTCCGTGTGCTGCTCTGCCATCCCCGGGCTTCAGATTCATCAGTCAATCACCCCAAGGCACTCCGTCAACAAGCACTAACTGGCCCAGTCACGTGCCAGACTCTTTCTGTAGATTTTATCTGGTCCTCACTGAAACCCATCTCACCCACAGGGGACCAAGACCCAGGGAGGATAAATCCCTCCCCATCTGCGTGACCCCCAGAGACCAAGGATGTCTGTTTTCCCAGGGCTGCTGCCCGTCCAGAGATGGATGAGATGAACCCCCACCTTCAGGTGGCCTCACTGATCTCAGACTGTCTGGGAAGGACACGTGGGGCAGAGTCCGCATGTGCCCAGGAGACAAGCAGCCAAACTGTCACAACAGCAGACAGGGGACGTGGCAGAGGGGGGACAGAGGCAAGTGGGGAGAAACGTGGGGGGGGCTGAGGCCTGACAGTGTCCTTCCTCCTCCGCTCTAGTTAAAAAATCACTTTACTTTTGGAATATTTTAAGCACACAGACAAGCACTGAAGACACTATGACAAGCACCCATGTGTCTTCCTTCCAGAGAAAACAATTTTAATATTTTTCATCATTGTTTCGATCTCTTAGATGTATGAATATATAAAATCATCACAAACACAGCTAAAAGTTTGCCCTCCCCTCCCCCACACCACTCCATCCTCAGAGGAAGGAAGTTGGCATATATCCTCCGTGCATGTTTTTATACTTTTACTAATTACTTGTTTTTTGCTAAGCGAGTAGCTTCTCCTTTCCTGACCCTAGTGTCCCCATTAAGGTGTGTTAATTCCATTTTAGTCCTTCCATGGCTGGCTTCTGAGAGCAGCGGGAATAGGTGAGCAGACAAAAACACCTTAGACAAAAACACAGGCCTGCCAACAACAAAGCCAAACACTTTGCCTGCAGAACCGATGGACTCAGCACGGCGAGGCTCAGGCCACAGCTGAAGATACACAGGAGGGTGCTCAGGGCCACAGTGGACCAGCAGCCACCAACCAACCTGTAGCCTGACAGCAGACCCCCTGGGGGCCAAGGAGATCTGCAAGGTCAGCCTGCCTGTCACAGACTTGTAGCTCTCTGGGACCAGCTGCCCCCCACACCCTGGGACATGCTAGCCAGGAGACCGACTGAAAGAAGCTGGTTCATGCCCCAGGCCAATGTCCTTCCATTCAGCTAGCCGTCAGCCTACCTTGACTCTCCCTTTCCCACGCTCTGCCGACACAGGGGAGGCTGGGCGGACACCAAGGGCTCCTGGTCGGGGCAATGCACCTTTAGACAAGGCCTGCAGTGTTTCCAGCCCAACCCAAATTCCCATCCCTGGGCACTGAAGTAAGACATTGTGCATCTGCAGAGTGCAACACCATGCGTTTGTAAAAAAGAACAAGGAGGTTCTTTATCTATTGATAAGGCATTATCTCCAAGATGTACTGTTAAGTGAAAAAAAGCTAGGCTCATCTGTGTAATGTGTATAGTAAGCTACGGTTTGTGTACAGATAAATAAACTATGTGCACATTATTCATTGTAAAGTACACAGGCCATCTGTGAGAACACACAAAAAAACCCAAAACCAAGGGCTGCCTCTGAGAAAGGGAATTGGGTGGCTGGAAAACTGATATAATTCTTGTATCTTTTAAGTCTTATTCCATATGCAAAGATTCTCTATTACTGGAAAAATAATATAAATATTTTTATAGCTGGGGAAAATGTGTAAGAAGAGCAGTGAGCCAGTCTGCTTTCTCAGGTGTACTATGTACTCTAAACCTGCAGTTAAAAAGGAAAGAGAGAGACAATAACAAGGCCAACTGAGGCACGTGCAGTAGGCTGAGGGCCAGGGAGATAGAAGCAAACTTCACCCCGGCACTACCTTTAACGATACTTCTCTTCCCAAATAAGCAGTACAAATGCATCTCCCTACTGGGTGAAATCAGCACATCTTCAGTGACTTGGTGTGTAAGTCAGCATGTTCACTTTCTCCTGAAGACCCTCTCTTCCTGTCCCATGAGCTAGGCTGTATTTAAGGGTACGGAGCCTGAACATGTGGGAAGAGCTGAATCAGCAAAGCAATCAACACAAGGACTCTGGCTGCATTCAAGGACTGGGAATACTAAAGGGACCAAGCTGGCACCTTCCTTGATGGGCTAGCAGGGGTGTCCGATCTTTTGGTGTCTCTGTACCACCCTGGAAGAAGAGGCTTTGTCTTGGGCCACATATTAAATACACTGCAACACATAATCACAAAAACATCTCATAGTGTTTTAGGTAAATTTACAATTTTGTGTTGGGCCGCATCCACAGTCTCCCTGGGCTGCATGTGGCCTGTGACCACATTGGTTGGACACCCGTGGCACTATAGGGTCAGAGGAGATACAGAACTGAGGGGACCGTGGCCGGAGTGTGCCAGCCCATAGCCCTACGGCCTCCTTACAGGGATGGACGGCACCCTAGACACACCTACACCCCACATCCTCAGCCAGGGCCCTCCTTCTTCTCCGATTCCTGTGCCTCCTGCCCACTTCCTCCCAGACACCCACGGACCAGGCCAGGCCGCACGGCTGGGCATAACCCCAATGGCCCAAGGGGCCCTGGCCTCTGCACAAGGCACGTACAACCCTCACACGGCCCCCAGGGGATTCCACAGAGAGCGGAGAGGGGGAGACACCTTACCCCGGCACAGTAATCTCCGCTGATGGTTACCCGCTGGTACTCGGGCATGGCATAGGGCGCTGGCATGGCCTGGGAAGGTGCTCCAGGGAGCACAGGGGTTGAGGGAGACATGACCGGAGTGGCTGTCGGGGGGCCCTTCCAATCTTGCTGCGTTGGCATTTGCAGAGACAGGGACTGGGACCGAATCATCTTGAAACTTTTCTTTCTAAAAGCCAAGGACAAGGAGAAGTGGGAGACATCAGTAGCTAATTGGGGCAAGTGATAGAGTCTTGTTATGCACATGGCAGAAGAATTTTGCTCGGATTAGTCGCTGATGCTGGCCCTGCCATTAAGAAGACCTAATTATCTGAGCCTTGCTCTTGCACACATCTCTTTGCATAAGATACAGAACAGCCATCCAGACACCCAACCTTGTGGTCACTGACAATGGCTGTGGGCTGTCTGCGCTGCACACAGAGCATTAGAGTAGGTGGTGTCTCAGGAGACAGAGGGCAGACCACCCAGGACAGGGGAGGTTAAGGACAATGTCAAACCAACCCGCATGCTAACTTCAGGTAACCCAAGCTCTAGTCCCAGCCTATGGTCTTAGGAAGAACCATGAGTAGGCTCACAGAGAGAAGTTACACCGTTCTTCATAGAGTTAGAAATTCGGGGCACTGGAGCCAGAAGACATCATGACAATGGACCAGTCTCACCAGCTTGTTTCATGAGAAGAGTCAGGGGCCCGGAGATGGGAGACGGCTTACTCAGAGTCAGGAGGTGGGGTGTCAGCGAGCCCTCAGCCTGCCTGCTCCCTGGTCCTTGCTCCGCCCCGTCACCCCTGCTGCGCCTTCCTCCAGTCTGACACATGTGCCCTCCCAGCTGCTTCTGCTGGCCGGGCACAGACATGTGTCTCTGTTATGAAAAACGGAATGATTCCACATCAATTTCAGGTCCCTTTGGACCTGTCACCTTGGCACCAAAATATGACTTCATGAACTCCTGGAGAAATGGGCACAAGGTTGGTTTAAAATGCTATAAGCTCATGCTTATTTGTGATGCCGATCTGTGAAAGACTCACCTTCCTCATTAACTAAGTAGTCACGTTTCAAATGACACCACCCCAAGTCCTAGAATCCCAGGACAGGAATTAACAGCAGGGAGCTAAGGCCCTGAACACGCCCCTCTCCTGTGTCTCCTTCTGCTTCCGATGGAACACAGTCCCCTAGCATTGCCGCACATTGGCGCCCATGCTAGAAACAAGAAGACTAGTTACCCTACCTTGTGCCAGAGGGCCCAGCAGCCTTGTGGATATTTATCCCACCACAACTAGGGCCAACAGCCACCAACAAAGGACTTGGTGACAATCGTGCCCCACCAGAGTCCACCAGACCCCTCCCTTTCTCTAGGCACCTGTGTCATCTATAGGGTGTGGAGAAACTGGTTAATGTCTAAAAGAGCCTCATGGCTCACAGGAAGCAGCTGTCTTCTTCCTGGCTCTTGGCCAGGTCTCCGCATAGACCCAGGGGCTGTTTTGCAGGAACCACAGTTCCTTCCCCTGTTCATACACCCTCTGCATGCCACGGCTCGCTTCTCTGGGGACAAGACTGTTTACACCTGGAATAGAGGCGGCCACTTCCCAGGAGTCTGTTTTGCCCTGCCACTGGCCCTGCATGACAGGTGCACTAGGTTGTTTGGGAAACAGCCTGAATGAACTCCAGGAGCCTCAGCCCCAGGCTCCCCCCTGCCTGCCATCCATTCATCACACAGCACGGAGCGGAGGGGGGACGCCAACTCCCATCAGTCCATCATCACCTCGACTAATGAGGTTCTCACTTTGTCATTGTTTGGACACTCACACTTAGAGGAAAAGCCATTACTTTGGACTCCCTGTCACATTCTGACAGGCTCACTTGGGTCCCCTGAGACTGGCTTCTGTGTCACTCACACGCCTGCCAAGTCACTGTTCTTAATCTCTATGCCAACTTCTGCACATGCCTCAGCCAGGGCAGCCTGATGGCTGGTCCTGACAAGGAGAAGCAAGGTAACATGTAAGGTGAGCAACAAGTAAAAATCGTATTTAAAAAAAAAAGCCTCCAACGATCAGAAGGCTGACTAAGCCAACACCCCACCCAGACTGTCTTAGGAATGTACATACTCTTCCGGCCAGCGAGGAAGCCAGTATCCACCTGCTAATGTCCAAAGAATTCTCCTTCTTGAAGACATCTATGACTCCAGCCATGGTCTTCAGGCGAGCCTCGGTTGTCACATGTGAACTTTACTGCCAAATCTCAGACTTTGCAGGTTTTAGACTTAACAACAGATGAGCCAACTCCTCCTCAGGGCCCACTCACCTTAAACAAGGACTCGGAATAACCAGAGCTAACCCTAAGCTTGTATCTCAGAACATTGGGAAAGCTAAACAGGGCCCAAGGAGAGGGCCCTGTGTTCATTTTCTCTTGCTGCATGACAAACTGCCACAGCCACATGGCTGCAGGCACTGAGAAATCTGGGCGGGCCTGGCTGGGCTCTATGCTCAGGGCAACAGAGGCCAAAATCAAGATGTTGGCCACACTGAGCTACTGGCTCTTCCCTGGAGACTCTATGAGGAAATCCATTCCCAAGCTCATTTAGGGTGTTGGCAAAATTCAGTCCCATGTGGCCATAGACTGAGGTCCCTTGTTCCTTGCTGGCCCTGAGCAGGGGTCACTCCATGCCTACACAGACCTCTCCATCTTCAAAGACAGGCATGGCTTGTGGTGCTGATGCTCCGAATCTCTCTGACCTCCCTTTCTATAACCAGCCTGGGAAAGCTCCCTGCTCCGAGGCTCACGTGGTTAGGTGAGGCCCACCTGGGAACTGCCCTCTCTGGGGGTCCACTGTGCCGTACAGCACAGTGTAACCCCAGGAGTCTGTGATGTTCAAAGGGTCTGGAGGTTACCGAGAGACGTCTTTGGGGGTCTGTTTCAGAAATGCTGCCCACCATAAGCCTATATCTCATGTGCTTCCTACACAACCAAGGCTCAGCCAACAACGGTGAGAACAGCAGCTGGGTGTATATAAGTGTGTGTGCACACACATGTGCTTCTGTCCCTCTCCAAGCCACCTGAAGCCCCGCGTGTGTCACAACACAATAGAGGCTTACCATAATCGTCACCTGAGTCATAGACCCATGGGATCTCCCAGCTGCAAAGCGCTTTGAAGATGATACACTCCAACCCTCTCATGAAGGCAGCTGTTGCTCAAATACCTCCAGTAACAGAGAGCTCACTACATTTCTGAATAAGACATCAGCATTCAATCATTATTCAAAAAACATTTACCAAGCACCTACTCTGGGCCAGGCCAGGACTAGGTATGTAAACACGAGGCAAACAAAATACGATCTGTTGCCACTGTTAGAAAGCACTTCCTTAGGACGGGCCAAGATCTGCCTGTTCACAGTCCCACCTGTTGCACCTCGCGCTCGCCCGGGGCATAGAGGAAGCCAGCTCACTCTGTCCCAGCTGGCACGCCCCCTCCTTTCCCACCCACATGCTCACCTGGTGAAAACACACTCCTGCCAAAAAAGCTGGCAGGGTGTGGGACTGTGAGGACAGCAGCTCCAGGCGAAGCCAAGGAGCCCGAAGAGCCAGGGAGCAGTTTCTCCTCCTGGGCCACAGAGACTTTCTTGCCCAACCAGGTTGTCAACACGAGATGATGAACAGTTCATCTCAGCTGCTCAGATGCCCCCACCTGCTCCATGGCCCTTGGCTGTCCCTGCCATTCACCATGTCCCCACCCCTACTCTGCCCCACTCCTCAGCCCTCCTCAGCTTCTCGGAACCAGGCATCCCAGAGCCTTTGATTTTAACATTTGATTAACATGCTAAACCCAAATTAAGACCCAGGGTACTCCTTGCTCTTCTAGAGACCAACCAGCATCTTCCCAGGGGCCTCTGAAGCCCACTGCCCTGTGAACTCTGCCTAGAGGGCTTCCAGGCAGGGAGGGGCACCAGAGCAAACCTTTCCCCAAAGGCTCTCGACCATGTACTGTGAGTCAGGGGGCCACCCGAGGACCTGGCTCCATTCAGTAAATGACCGTGTGCCAGGCCCTGGGGTAGATGGACAGAGAAAATAGAACCAGCGGCCAGCTGGTGCCATACAAGCCCAGCACCATCCAGGAGAGCTGTCTCATGATTTTTGAAGTGTCTGGAGATTACAGAGGGACACCTCTGGGGGCCATTTCAGAAATGCTGCCTGCCAGAAGCCTGTATCTCATGTGCTTCCTACACACACCCAGCAACAATGGTGAGAACAGCAGCTGGGTGTGTATATGTGTGTGTGTGTGCACATGTGCTTCTGTCCCTCTCCAGGCCACCCGAAGCCCTACGTGTGTCACAACAATAGAGGCTTACCATGACTGTCATCTGAGTCACAAACCCACTGATGGCTGGATAGTTCCACAGACTGTCTCACTGCCCTCACACAACGGGGTTGGTGCAGTGAGAAGCCCTGGCTATTTCGGGGTCCCAGAGGAGACACCGAATCCAGACTGGGGGTGGGCCTGGTGGAGCAGCAGGGTCAGAGAAGGCTCCCTGCATCATTCCCCAAGGGAGAGAGGAACATACCAGAATTGGGAGGCTTGTTCAAACCCCTCCCACCCACACGCTCACGTCATTCTGGCACTGCCTGCCCCTCCAGATGAGGGACTGTGAGGAGTCACAGCCAGCACCGGTTTCACTAACAATCTGAATGCCATTAGGTGGGGCAGGCATTCCCCACTTCCTCAGGCTCATCGGCTCCTGTTGCCTCCACTGTCACCGCACTGACCCACATGGAAGGCAGGACCCCAGGTCTGAGGAGCACAGCTGAAGAGCTGACACCTTCTCTGCGATTGAGACCAGAGGTCCCAGCCTATCCAAAAAGGAAAAGGTGGGAAGACCTGACCATGACATATACTGCATGAGCGGCCTACGGACGGGGTATGCGGAGGGCCCCACACGCAGCACTGACCGCTCCACCTGCATCTGCAGGCCAAGTGACCTGCCACCTGACCGGGTGGGTGTTGCTTTGATTCACTTACCTGAAGCCCACCAGGTGCAAAGACTCACAGCCTCAAGCCCAGCCTCTCCCTTCACTTTCCTCTGACAGATAACCAGCCCTCACCTACGGCTGCCTCCCCCGCTCCCTCCAGACCAAGGGTAGGTCTCCACTCGCCTGCCTGCTCCCATCTCCTTTCCCCAGT